AAAAAAAAAAAAAAAAATGAAGCCATGATCTACTTCAACTTGCTGAAAATTTAATTTATTTAACAGTGTCTCAGATGTGAATGTTGTACAATTATTTTATTATGTATTTATTTACTTATTTTTGAGATAGAGTTTCACTTTGTTGCCCTCAGTAAAGTGCTGTGGCTCCATAGCTCACAGCAATCTCAAACTCTTGGGCTCAAGCAATCCTCTTACCGTAGCCTCTCGAGTAGCTGGGATTATAGGTGCCCGCCACAACACCCAGCTAATTTTAGAGATGGAATCTCAGTCTTGCTCAGGCTGGTCTCGAACTCCTGAGCTCAGGTGAGCCACTGCACCTGGACTATACAATTATTTTAATAAAACTTTGATAGGCCAAGCATAGTGGCTCACACCTGTAATCCTAGCACTCTGGGAGGCTTAATCAGGAGTGTCTTTTGAGCTCAGGAATTCAAGACCAGCCTGAACAAGAATGAAACCCTGTCTCTACTAAAAATAGAAAAATTAGCTGAGTATTGTGGCAGGTATGTAGTCCCAGCTAGCTACTCGGGATGCTAAGGCCGAGTGATCATTTGAACCCAAGAATCTGAGTTTGTTGAGAGCTAGGCTGCAGCCCTAGGCAACAGAGTGAGATTCTGTCTCCAAACAAATTTTTAAAAACCTCTATATAAGTGAAACTATGAATATGAGATTTTAGGGTGGTGAGGAAGAGAGGAGAATCTGACATAGGCTAGAAACAGGCTTCAGAAAATCCTTATTCCCTGTAGGTATGCACTGCTTATTGTAGACAGTGCCACCGCCCTTTACAGAACAGACTACTCAGGCCGAGGTGAGCTCTCAGCCAGGCAGATGCACTTGGCCAGGTTTCTGCGGATGCTTTTGCGGCTTGCTGATGAGGTAAGTTGTGGGGTGGAGGTGGAGATTGCCCACTTTCAGTGACTTTGAATTCCAAGAGCCTTGCTAGGAGACCAGAACATCAATGCCTGTTTCATCAACCTTATCAGTTAGAAAAGAACTTTCTGACTCTGCGCCTGTGGCTCAAGTGGCTAAGGCGCCAGCCACATACACCTAAGGTGGCGGGTTCGAATCC